TGTTCTATTGATCCCCAACATCTGTAGCCTTTTGGTAGAATGGATTTGAAACTCCCATTGTCCAAAACATTTTTCCCAATCTCACTCCTAAATAGCCTAATTTTAATTTTAATCTTAATTTCTCGGACTTAGCTATGATGGGCCAAATGGCCTCTTTCTGTGCTGTATCATTCTATGAATTGATCTCATCTTGTCATATGGAAAGACAATATTAAGAACATTGGAACAGGAAAAGGCTGCTCAGCTCTTAAGCCTGTTCTGCCATTCATTGAGAATGTAGCTGATCTGTATCATAACTGCATCCATCTGCCTTAACCCCGTATGCTCTAATCCCCTCTGTCTATGAAATATCCATCGATCTTAGGTTTAAGTTATCAACTGAGCTTCCATCTACTGATTTTTGTGCTGAAGCTCCATAATCCTACCATCTTTTCTGTGAAGAAATGTTTCCTAGATCCTCGCCTGAATGGCTTTCCTCTGAGTTTATGTCCTCTTAACCTGGACTTCTCCATCAGCTGACAAAGGTTCTTTCTGTCCAGCCTGTCAGCTGCTTTCAAAACATTAAAAGCTCAATCCAGTGATCTCTGCAACAAATACCAGCCTGCTTTCTGTAATCTCATTTCATAATTCAAACCCTGGAGATGTAGTAATGTGCTTCGACACAACAAATTTCTATACTGTGTGAAGTGGGATGGAAATAGGAGTCCACCTCCTGTGATGACTTGGATAGGGAAGAGGCAATGATTGTGGAGTCTACAATCTGAATTGTCTGCAGATCTCCGTGTACTTACATATTTCCTATATTTATGTTTATCTGTCTTCTTGTTCCAGGGTGCTCGTCTAAGTCATTCAAACTGTACTCGCCAAAGGAACCCCCTAACGGCAACGCATTTCCCCCCTACCACCCAGGCAGCATGCTGGATCGTGATGTCGGGTAGGTGTCAGCCTCCTTGGAACAGAGATGCTCTTGAGGAAATTGGATTGTGAAGAAAGTCAGTATCTCCGGAATGAGAGAGGAAGGGAGATTAATAGGAGCATGGTGTATTGGTGATGACCAAATCCCAGTTTGAGAGTAGCATTGTCAAGAATAGTATGGGAGCAAGCAGGTTTACTCTCTGGCAGGCTGAGGTTGTTGGAGTCCGAAGGAAACCAAACGGTCGATTAGCGAATTTTAAAAAAAAAATGTTGAAGTACAAATGTTAAATTTTGGAACTTTGCAAGTTTCTGCAGCAGCATATGAAATCGTACAACACACACGAGTGACAAAGTGAAACTGTGGTGCAGTGATATAAAGCACCAGTAATAAAATGGAATGTGATTTGTTATCATAGATTAGATAATTTACTCCTGGGTACTTGTTGTTCCAAATATAAACCACCCAAAGGTGCACTCAACAAAAACCGAAAGAACTGTTGAAGCTGTAAATCAGGAACAAAAATAGAAGTTGCTGGAAAAGCTCAGCAGGTCTGGCAGCATCTGTGAAGAAAATATTAGACCTGCAACATTAACTCTGATTTTTTTCTTCACAGATGCTGCCAGACCTGCTGAGCTTTTCCAGCAACTTCTATCTTTGTTCCTGATTTACAGCTTTGACAGTTCTTTCAGTTTTTATTCAGTGCACTTTTGGGTCTTTTTAGTGTTTCTTCGTATAAATACAGCCATCTTCAGGGTGACCTAGCATTGAATACGATGGAGTGCTGGGTGGTGGCTGGGTAAAGGATATGAGTAAGAAGGAAAGAAAGTTATCTTCTGCATTTTCTACCTTTTTCACCCTGTAGGAATTTGTTCTTGATCTATTACAGGGGAGGAAGTTAACTGTTTGAGTATCTGGGAAATGATTAAGATTGGAGATAGTAGGAACTGCAGATGCTGGAGAATCTGAGATAACAAGGTGTAGAGCTGGATGAACACAGCAGGCCAAGCAGCATCAGAGGAGCAGGAAGGCTGACGTTTCGGGCCTAGACCCTTCTTCAGAA